TACTAAATTTTGATCCCTGAAATCTTTGGTAATACCAATGTTCACTTTGTCTGGTTTTGTTGCAGCATGCCCCATATTATATTTTTAAATAATAATAATGTCATATGTTAACATATTATCATCATCAACACCAGTAAGAGAGGATTTTGTATATAAATTTTATACTCGAATACTTAATAATGCTAATGCTAATTTCAATTCTGAAGGAGAAAGTAGAAAAGATTATTTTTTTTCATTAGTCAAAAAAAACAAGGAGCTTTCTGAAAATGAAAAAGAATGGTGTAAGGAAAAGTTTATTTATCATTTTGAATTAAAAAATGCAAGAGATAAATTGGGAGAACCAAAAGAATGTAACAAGTGTAAATTGACAAGATACTCTGATAGGTTCTGTGAAGGTTGTATTACTTTAAAATTACAGAGTCTTTTCACCACTTGGACATCTGGAAATAACATAATTGATGATTTTATTCAACAATGTCAAATGAAATCATCTCTGCCAGACTGTATTTTAGAATGGATACCTTTTGAGCAATTTTATAATATAACAAGTTGACGGAAGGTGGATTTAGTTCAATTTATACTGCTACATGGACAAGAGGAAGAATAATTGATTATGACGAAAATAAAAAGGAATTTAGTTATTTTGGAGGTAGAGGGCAACTAGTAGTATTAAAAAGTTTAAATGATTCAAGTAATCCAGGAAAAGCCTTTTTTGATGAGGTTGGTAGTTGTCATTTAAACAAATAAACAATACTGTATTATATAATACTAATTGGTTTTATATTTAATTACAGGCAATAAATTATTGTAAAATTAAATCAAATTTAATTGTTCAGTGTTATGGTATAACTAAATTCCCAGATAATGGAAATTATGCAATTGTTTTAACTTATGCTCCAGAAGGAAATTTAAGGGGTTATTTGCAAAAAAATTTAACATTAAAAGACAGAATTATAATCTTTAGATATTTATGCAAAGCATTATATGATATACATAAAAAAGATTTAGTCCATTGTGATTTACATAGTGGTAATATACTTGTGGAAGGAGGTGGTTGTTATATTACAGATTTAGGATTATGTGGACCAGTTGATGATGAATCATCCAATAAAGTCTATGGGATTGTATCATATATTGCGCCCGAGCTACTTAGAGGCAATAATACAAAGAATACCAAAGAATCAGATATCTATAGTGTTGGGATGTTAATGTGGGAAATATTTGCAGGACATCCACCATTTGATGATAGAGCTCACAATCATCGTTTGATTTTTGATATATGTGAAGGTTTACGATCACCAATATTACTTGAAATGCCTGACGATTATGTACAAATGATGCAGAGGTGTTGGGATGTGGATCCATCAAAAAGACCAACTAGTGAAGAGCTGCTTGAATTTGCTTATAATAAACGCAATGAAGTTTTTAAAAATAATAGTTTAATAAAAAGATTATTCAAATTTTCTAAAATCAAAAAACATGAAAATAATAACAATAGTAATCATACTATTAGCAGCAGCAATGGTGGCAATTCACAACAAGCACACAAATCACATCCAGATGCATATCATACAAGTAGAATATTAGATGAAGAGATTGCTAAATCTAAAAGCTTGAAAATTCATACAAGTAATAGTTCGTTAAATAATCTTGATTGTAACTCCTTTCTCTAGAAAGTTAACAAAGGTAAATAAAATTTCATTATTAATTAATTTGGAAATTACTATATATTCATTACTAACTATATTAATTAATAGTGATGAATGACTAATTTAATCTCCACTATAATTTATTATTTATCCTTTTATTTTATCTTTATTTTATTTCTTAAAGCTAAATTATAATAATATTTTTGAAATAATAAACTTTTTACAGTTTTTTGATTTTTGTTAAATGGTGATATTGCGGGGTATCATTTCGGCAAATTAACAATTATGGCTTAAATTTCTTGTCAGTTAATTATAAATAACTCACAATAATTCGATGCTTGTCGATTGGTTAGTTTACGAATTTAATTTGGTTCCCTCTTTCTTGCACCTAGACGAATCTGTGAGCACACTTAATGGTAACCAGATAACTAAAGATGGCCCTACTATAAAGTTCATTGTGATCGATTTATTTCAGTTGTTTACATTTATTGGATTGACAATTAGAAAGAAATCTGTTAAATCACTTTTTGAAGAAAATAAAAATAAAAATAAAAATGATA